TTCTTGCTAGGCTTATATACTAACGAAGGGAGCATCTCGAATAAACTTGGGCCTCCCCTATCATTCATGATCATTCACGAAATTTCACGCATGCTACCAGCGCCGAATGCGCAAGCAGCATCACGTGACTTCTGCTCACAATACTATTTTAATTCCTTAAGAAGAGTAAATCCATTTAAACTATGCTGGCATTCTCTAAGTTCTGAATATTAAAGGAAGCAATTTTATATCATTGCTCTCAGTAACTCAACCTTTAACACACCAGAAAGGTTGGTTGTTTTGAAATTCGCGAAAAGCTACACGATTGCTATCTGAGCTAGCCATTCGTAATTTAGCAGTGTAAGACTAGACAGAGGGAAAACAGCTAGTCATTACCACCCACCTCCAACTCTTGGGCTACTTTTTTACGAACGAATAGTAGGATTGACCGTAACATTATAACGCCCCCATGGAGGAAGGGGGAGTATGTTTGGTAGGATGGGGATTCGAACCCGCGACACGCAGATTGCGAGTCGAGCGCCCTAACCACCTGGCCATGCCGGGCCTCACTAGAAAGGTGTTACTAATATCTCACTGAATTTTTCGTTTGACAGTGTAAATACTTAACCAGATTGCATGAATAATATTATAGTCTTACTAAATATTATCTAGTTCTGGCTTTTAAAAAATCTATAAAATTTGATTTAGTTTTTTATAACTTTTAATTTTTAAAGTTACAAATTCTTGTTGTGAGGCACCGTTTAGCATGACAAACTTAATGATGATCCACTTTGAAAGGGTAGGTCCTTGTTCACTGATAAATATACGTCAGATGTTAATGTTTATTTTGTTATTTATTTCTGTATGTGATGACTACTACAATTAGTAGAATAAGGTAGCAAAAGAAATATAATAATGAATATCAATCAAGTTAAGTCCGTTGGCGAGACAACAGCAAGTTTACAGATTTATAATGCTAAAATCAGGTGTTCGAGTTCTTTTGATGGACACAGACAGCCTGATGTAGCTTTCCTATAAAAAAAAAACACATGTCAACCAAATTGAAACTGAGTGGATGTATAAAACAGGTTTTTCTGATTAATAATAAAAATTAAATTATAAGTTCAGAGGGAGTATTTTATTTTATTTTTAATTGTTGTAAGTTTTTAATTTTTGTTTTATATAACCTTGTACTGGCAAGGGTTGTTTTCAGTCTTTAATTTCTAGTTGTATTTACAATGGAATGGGCAAGGGTTGTTGTAATAACAAATGTTTTCCCTGTTCCTCCTGATACATCAATGAAAAATGAAACTATTTTTTCAGATATAATTGATCTCAACCAAGAATATTATGAACAAATACATCATTAGCTCATTTGCTGTTATATTAAAGTTTTTCTTCATTACCCATTCAAGCCGTCTCCAGCCATTATTAGTCTCAAAGTGGGTTCCTCGTCATCGAATTTTAATGTGTTGTTGTTTTTAAACAGGTAGTGGCAGGGGTACAACGTTTCGACAAGGTTTTGACATCATCAGTTGCAATGATGAAAAACATGGGACTTTTTTTATTGTGTTCTGACAATCTGGTTTACAATTTTCTTCCTGTTTCTCCGATGTATAATTTAGGACAGTTATTGCATGTTATTTTTTACGAAGATAATATTGTGGCCTGGTGTGGTTTATTTAATCTCCCAGATAATCACAGTGTTTTAAAACTGTCAATGAATTCTTGCAGGAAACTAATGTGCTTGGATTTAAAGGGCCTAGAAAAATGACGGTTATCCTACCGGCGATGACAAGTGAACACAAGAGAGTAGAAATGCAACCTATATCAGTAAGTCAACTGGTAATTTCTGGTTTATATGATAAGATGTAATACATAAGGACAATACCGAGTACCGTGTTTCACATCTATGTAATATTATGAAATATTAACCTCTTACAGAAACATTAAATAGCTAAGAACTGCAATGAATATCAAAATAAGATCTTTTGTAAAAAAAGAAAAAATAATCTATTGAGAATGACTTACTTTTGCTAACAAGTAAGCAACATTTTTATGTATGTACGATGAAAGTTAAGGACCGATGTTTTAATTATCAAAATATTGCACATTTCGAAAGCTTAAATCTCAACCCTACGATGTATTCAGAAAACTTGTTCTAATGACTGTTTTATTTTTAAATAGTTGTTTATTTGTAATTCTTAGTTGGTAATTTCAACCCGAACGAAACCTACCGCTTAAAATAAGTCAGAATCTCCTGAATTTCAGCCATATTCATCCCTAATTTAGATATATTAACCTCAGGTATGGCAATCAATTAGCAGCACCCAACGCTTTATACAGCTATTATTAGCCGAACAGTGGGATTTGTTATCTCTGTTATAAGAATCCCACAGCTAAAAACATGGAGCGTATTCAGTCACATATCGCGGCTCGAACCTTGGACCTACATCATGTTTAATACTAGACTAATTGCAGCCTGGTGTAAGTGATAAATACGCGAGCAAACACGATAAACATAATAAAATAGACTAAACATAATTAGTAATACATTTGATGGTAACGACGAGAAATCATTTTAAATCCTAGTCGTCGATTTCATGGCAAAATGTATTCTTTATGTAATGCTTCTAAACGGGTTTGTTTTACTGAGTTTGTCGTTTTAACTTCTTTATTGTTCTGCACAACATTAGACGCTAATTAGAGGAGGCTAACTGGGCTGTTGCTGTAAACCACAATTAATTACAACATCGACGGCATAGAATGTTATTGAAAAGTATCAAAATTATTATTTTGATTCTCCAAATATGTTGTTCATTTCCCAATGCCATCTCGAAGTACCCTTGCAACAGTATATTTACAATATCATTCATTCTCAGCTGTCACTGACGCTGTTCAGGTGCATATACTTGTTCAAACTGATCTCATGTATATCAAACACTTAAAATATGTAATTTTTATAACCAACGAAAATAATTACTTCATACATGTGTCTGAAATAGAAGCGCCATCTATTGTATTGGTCTGCGATTTATTTGACTTTTTTTTTTTACCACTATAAATGCCTTACAATATACAAACAAGAATTTAAATAATTGGTAGCACTAAGTGAGTTTCTCAGCACCATTACAAGAAGTTACTGTCTGCAAAGTCATGACTTGTAATCTCCTTTTTCTTGTAAACCATTACTTCCGTTATGGGTAAAGAAAACATTAAAATATAATCACTTTCGGCCATTCACTTTTTTTTTCATGTATTTTCTTTAACTATACTTTTAATAAAATAGTTGTTATTTTTACCAGGAGAGTGATAGTTTGATAGAAAGATGGCGGAACAAGAACATGGAAAACCTACTGGATCTACATAACAAAACACCAGTTTGGAATGACGGTAACAGTAGATATGTTAACTGATCGTAAAGAAATATTAATTAATTCCACTCTTGTATAGTAAGATATGGTTAAGAAATGCGTATTGCATGATGAGAATATCTAATTAAATAGTTCATGTGATGATAACATTGAGAAGGATTTAATTCCAGCTCTAAGCAACAACATTATTTACTAAAGGTTTTATATAAAAGATAAGCAAAGTATAATTTTAGATTCCATTTAGTTTCATTTTAAGCATTTTATTATTTAGAATGAATTAGCTGATACACAATAACAATTTTGTATCCAAATTGCTTGAAAAGTCCATAATATTTTCTTTATTGAAATTAATTCGATTTATTGTTTTATTTTTAATGTAACAATTTTTTATCCAAATTGGGAAATTAAAATATATTTTTGTTGTTTTATTTTTAATGTAAAACTTTTTTATCCAAATTGTTTGAAAAGTCCATGATATTTTCTTTATTGAATTAATTAGATCTTTGTTGTTTTATTTTTCATGTAAGGTTTAACAGCTCTTCCATTTTTCATTTGTAAAAAGATGGTGATCTGCTAGAATTCGTAAAAAAATAAACAAAATCTAGCTTTTTTTCCCCCTGTCATTAAACACAAAAGATGCCACGAATGCTCAAATATATTATTTTAACTTTAGTCTTTAGAGAACAGTATAGAACAATTTTGTATTTATCACTACCTAAACTGACGAAACGTGGAAACTTTTATACTGATAATATAAAACATCATAGAAACACTGCGAAAATCTTAACTTTTCAACTTTGATTGATTCAATGCGAGCTTTCAGCAACATGCAACTAAATATGTCATTTCAAAAACGCTTTATTTGTTGTAGACAGGTTTTTTTTTGTACGAAAGTCAGTTTAGTTGGGCTACAACTATTAACAGAAACACTGCTTCAACTATTCAGCAGGCACATTAAGCAAAGTTATCCAGAAATTAATCGTTTTTAAATTGAAAATAAGCCTAATCTATAATGATTAATCTTTGATTTCTGCTTTTGTAACTAATTCAATTATATACATAGATATATAGTTAAATAATAAAACTGAATCACCTTCTTTTAACTATATTTTATTATATTTTAATCCAATTTTTTTAATTCGTAATACAAAGAGTCTATCAGCTCTTTCAATACACTTATTTTGAGTTAAGATTCGTTATCAGTTTTATTGTGGTCTTGTGATTACTATAATCAATTCAAAAATATGTGGCAGCTATAATAAGGACGATAATTTTACATCATATCAAATATTCAAGAGTTTAATAGTTATTTCGTATTATAACCTTTCAAGATAAGATATTTATTACACATTTACCAGAAGAATATCTGATTATAAGTAGTTTGTCAATAATGCTTGGTATTTAAAAACCATCAAATATTTGTACAGGTATATAATAACAAAAGAGGTTGAAGTTGAATTGACAGCATATATATTTTTTTTTAAGTCCGCTTTTGTTAGCTAAAAAATACTAATATTGTATGACAGCGCTGTGGTCAAAATATGTTATCATCTCAACTTTGTAATTTTGTAGAGATATTTTTGTTTTATCTGTTAAAAAAAGAAAAAAAAAACATTTTATTGATACTAAAATTTAAACTAGAAAAAAATGCAATTTTCTTCACTATTTGCTACATGTGCTGTCACCTAGTGTAAAGTCTGTAAAGCTGTAATTAAACGTTTTTTGTTCTTTTCTTCGTTTGTTCAAAAAATGTCTGAACTATTTTGACTTCCTACTTAGTAATAAAAATGTATGCACAAAACTAATCACTGTTAGTATATGTTGAAATGTTTTGCACTACACGGTTCAAGATCCATCTTTAACGACAAGGAATAATTGAGTAATAAAAAAGTATATTGTTAACTTTGATTGACTTCTTTTTCATCCAGAAGCCGAAACTTGTGCTTTACACAGGCATACTTTAAAAAAATACAGATAACAACACATAACTACTACCTTCATTACAGATACTCAGTCTTATGTCTTGAACTTTCATGGCCGTGTAACACAAGCATCGGTTAAGAACTTTCAAATTGTTCACGACAACGATGGTGAGTTATTTTGTTGTTGTTTTTTTTTTTTTCATTTTATCTTTTGATTATAGTGTTTCTTGGAATTAAGACTTAAAATGGCGAATGATTATAATCACGATCAGATTAATCAATGTCTTATTTGATTTAATACTCGTTATATATATTATAGTGATATATTTATATATATAGCATGTATAAAACCTTTCTACATATAATATCTAGCCTTATGTTTTATTAAAGGTTAGCCCCCCAGTAGCACAGCGGTATGTCTGCGGACTTACAACGCTAAAATCCGGGTTTCGATACCCGTGGTGGCCAGAGCACAGATAGCCCATTGTGTAGCTTTGTGCTTAATTACAAATACACAATAAACAATTAAGGGTTATTTGCACTTTATGAGAACCAGGTTTCTGGTCCAGTGCTGCGCTTTTGATTACTTCCACCACTGCCAACTGTGTTCACTCTGATGACTATGATTATCAAATATTACTCGAAACTATAGTTTCCATTGTAAAAAGCTTCTGTGGACGATGGTGAAGTCAAACTTTGACCACACATCTTAAGAATTTTCTATAAACTATTCATTGTACTTTTACAATAATAAATGCAGATTGAAGCTGCACCAAAAAGCTTGACATGCATGTGGTCGAATGGGATTGCTGTGATTCTAATTTCAATGGCCACCTTTTTCATGAAAACAGCCATTGACTTCGAGATTTTTAAACTGCAAATCTCCGTTTATTGCGACATATTGTTATCAGAAGATTGCCCAGCTTCTTCCCAATAGGGCTTTTGGGTGAAAGGGACGTTCCTTCGTGACCCTCATTTTTTAGATGAGGACATTCCTCCATATTAGAATCGATATGGTTTCAGAACTAATTGCTGTTCTAAAAGCTTTGTTGTGCAACTTTTCCACTTCCATGGAAAACATTGAAGACTTCTTTCTTTGAAAGGTTATGTAATTTGGCTCTGTATTATTTATCTATCTTACTATACGAATATGTTTCTTCATAAAGTTCTGTGACATATAATATTCCAGATGCAAGTCTATCCATGGTGGCATTGCACTGTTGAATGATCAAGTACTTATGTAAACCAAATACATATATACTAAAGGTTTCCAAGGTGGTTGGTGCCACGGCTCACAGCTTTAGCAACAAACCATTGCATTAGCACATTCACATCGTTCTTATTAAGTGTGACTTACCCTGCAGTATAATGTATTTTGAGGACTGTGTTGTCCCAGTATAGCATTGAGTTAGTTATTTTTTTTTTACATTCTATTGTATTCTTATTCTTTTCGTTGAAATTAGTATATAACAGAAATTGATCTGAACTATTCACGAAATAAGTATTTTATCGATATTAAATTTTAGGAATTTTACCAAAAAAAAAGATCATTTCTATAGAGTAATATAACAATTCTTTTCGTGTATTCTTTCACCGGAAATATTGAAAAGCCTGGAAAGGTGGAGAGGGATTTGTCACTGAAGCCCTATTTTAGGGATGAGAGTAACTTTTCAAGGGCCAGGAATGGCTTAGATTAGAGTGCCAGGCTATGAATCAAAGGATTCATGATTCGAGGCCCGTTTCATAAAATTGCGCTATGAAATTTGAGGCCTTGGTCAAATCCCACTATTCTGTCACAAAGAAAAATAATAACCCAATAGTTGGCTGCTTTTCTCTCTGTTTGTCAGTTCGCAATTAGGAAATCTATGCGCAGGTAGGCCTTGTGTAGTTTTGTGCAAAAAAAATGAAATAAACGTTTCAAAGCAATAAAAAATATTCACCTTTAAAGTTAATCTCAGCTTGTTTGAACACATCTGGAAGAACAGACAACCAACTCTCTCGGAAAGTGATTTTTCAACAGAAGAGATGTGAAGTCTGCTCTCCTGTCCCTTACACGCCATTAGTAAATATCTTACAGTACTTCCGTTGAAGATGATTAGAATGCTGGACCGACTAAGCAGATTCTGGACATTATTTGTCTCAAGCAGATGTACAGTATCACGTTATGATGCATACATATTCTGCTGAAAAAAAGTATGTTCCTTGTTGTCCAGAGAATTTTATCATAATAGACAGGACAGCATTGTACAGACTATTACACATTCGTGAGGTCTTTAACTCTTACCAATAGACCAAGTCCACACTAGCTAAAACAGGCTCACTTTTAAATACTACTTCTATCACTCTTCACAACTGAGATGACACGATTACATCCAATAGAGATTAGCTGGCTTGCAGTTCTGAGCTTTTATTGAAGTTCTGAGTAACGGGTTCAATACCAGATGTGTAATTTCATTTCAAAATTCATTTTGAAGTTCACTTACCTGAGGAGTGGATGGCCGAGCCGATTTTCTACATATAATGGCTCCCGTTTCTTCACTGACTTGAGCATAAGCTGGCAGACTCAGATGTCTTGAATACTCATACTAACGCTACATCAACTAGTTATTCTTCCTCGAAAGTCCATGATCTCACTTTCTTGTAATCTTCCCTCTAAATTAGTTGTTCAATTTTATAAGTCCCAGGCATCAATGCATCATGGGGCTCACATGTAAACTGTGTGAGAATGGGGCCATTACTTAGGGTTTCGTAATATTTTTGGCAGTATAGTGTATATGTCTTCGAAAATCAAAAGTACTTCAACTTGAATTTCTTAAACACAGAAAATAATCAACAAAATTTGAAACTTGTAATTCTGAACAAAGTGATAAAAAAAAGTCCACGCAACTGCTTTTCATATAACATCAATCATAATATTTAACATTTATGTATAGCTATGATTTTTGTCTGTGTATTACCGGTAATAAAATACGAAAATATACGTTCTTTTTTCTTAGTGGATTATATTGTAATGCAGTTTGGTCGGGTGGCGGAAGACGTCTTCACCATGGACTACAGTTTCCCTATGTGTGCTCTTCAAGCCTTTGCCATTGCTCTCTCCAGCTTTGACAGCAAATTAGCCTGTGAATAAGTTACTTGGGAAAATGCTGTACCCTTCACGATGGAGCTATCGATTACCCACACTAGTCTCACTCTTGCACGTTTATTGTTTGTATATTTATAATCTATATACATATACATCTGTATAGATTTATATATATTTATACCAAGATACACGCTATTGTTTTGTTCCTTGTCTGTACACCAACTAGCGATGTTCCAAAAAGTTATTTATGATGTTCCTAAATATATTGCGAGTTAACATAATTTTATGTGCACTTTTTTTTATTGAAAATAACAGTTCCATGGTCAGTCCCAAAACTGTGCACATCTCCACTGAAGTTATATAGTTGCCCAGATGATTTTATCATATTGGAGATATACCTGAACCTGACTAGTATTCATATCAAAAGTGCTTATTTCCTGTAAATGAATTTTAGCTTAATAGAAAGTCTATCTCTTATCTCTGCTTTCTTATTTATATACTGCACAATGTTCCGTTTGGGTGAAGATACACATTTAAATGTTTAACACATTTCGATACCAGACATCTTAATACCAACGTACGTTGTGAGCTTTTAACTAATTATACGGACTCAGCCGTTATGTATTCACTGTCCATGTTGGTGTCTTGGAACATGAAGTTTTAGCTCAAATAGCAGAATTATCAGAACCACAGGAGAAAGTAAATCCTAAATTGTGGTTGACTTAAGACTTTCTTAAATTTTTTTCTAATTCGTAGTGTCAAACACCATATTTGTGTTTTATAAATAGAACATTTATAAGTAGAACATTATTGCAACACCCAGTATATATATATATATATATATACTGTCAAGCTTTTGCTAAAGTATTTTACTTATTTCATTATTGATTTTCTTTTTCATATGACTTGTTTCTGTATGATCTGAAATGAGATCAGTAAGGTTATGTGGGTGGCATCGTTTGACCTATCTATGACTTCAAACAGCTCATCATCCTAATTATCCTAAAACTCCACTGAACCAAAAGTCTGTTAATCTTTTAATACCCTGGAACGTTTTTCCTGCGACTTAAACTCTTAGGTAAACGCAAAAAAAACAACAAAAAACATGCAGTAAAGACAAATTTTCGTGCTAGAGTACTAAATTTCTAACAGAACAGATGACATCAAGTATGCTATTAAAGATCAAATAGAAGCATTAAAAAGGGTTTTCTAGAACGGGAGTTCTCAAACTAATTTTTTAAAACTTGAACAACTTGCGATATTCCGATTTCCAGGCATGCACAAAAGAGAGAGGATACATTTCATGCTAGGAGAACACTGTTCTTAGCGTATGAATCATTTTCAAACTAAAAAGATGGAGATCTGTAAAACTACAAACCGTTCGTGACCCTCTTGAGATCCCTCTGGTGGTGGTGGCCCACAACTTGAGAATACCTATCCCAGCTTAAAAAGAAACTTATATGGTTTTACATAAAGTTTAACGTCTTGCTACTTCCCAGGTGCTTAAATGGTTATATATTCATTTGTTCAAACGTCTACAGAATCTACAATTTGATTAGGTTTATATCTTACATTTGTGATTTAACATTGTATTCAATTACTGAAGTGCATCTTAACAAAGAGAGGCAAGTAAATTTAACCTTTTGAGTTTATCTAAAGCCCAGTTTAGCTACTGTATACCAGTTCTCAGTTTTGTTTCAGTTGTTAATCTTCAACCAGATTATCGAGGATCCTGGCTTAATTACTCCTTACCCTAAGGCCCTAAACCTTTTATTTTACTTTTTTAAATAATTTTTCAATTTTCGTTTTGAACTGTAAAACATATCCCGATCTTTCGCACTAAGTTATGATGTCAACTGTTTGTTTCGTAAAAGTGATCGGAATAGTAGACTCTGCACGTAACGGAATGAACTCAATATAGGCCTAGTGAAAACACTAGGACTCAGATTATACACCTTGAATAATATATATAAATATTACTGTGTTGTCAAGGGCCCTTCAAAAGCTTTTAGCAGACTCAACTGTTTTTATTTGTGAACTTACACCTATCATTTGGTGAAGCTTAGAATAAAACTAACCTATCAATAATCCTGCTTAGAATAAAACTAACCTATCAATAATCCTGCTTAGAATAAAACTAACCTATCAATAATCCTGCTTAGAATAAAAATCAATTATCAGTAACCCTGCTTAGAATAAACATGAACTATCAGTAAACCTGTTTAGAATAAAAATTAACTATCAGTAATCCTGCTCAGAATACAAATGAAGTATTAGTAATCCTGCTCAGAATACAAATGAATTATCACTAATCCTGCTCAAAATAAAAATTAACTATCAGTAATCCTGCTCAAAATAAAAATTAACTATCAGTAATCCTGCTTATAATAGAAATGAATTATCAGTAATCCTGCTTATAATAGACATGAACTATCAGCAATCCTGCTCAGAATAAAAATGAACTATCAGTAATCCTGCTTAAAATAAACATTGACTAATAACTGATAAAAAAGACGAATTCTCAATAATATTTGCTCAGAATAAACACTAAAAATTGACTATAAATCGTTTGATGTTCAAATTTGTTATTTTCTCAATGTATTAACTACATTTTCAATTAACTTACCATAGATTAGATCAGTTTTTTGTTTTTGATAATTTTAATAATATTTCAGAACATTTTTTTGCTGACATATTTAAGTGTAGAATAATTCTACTCTATAATATGGCCACCAGGTTTAGTATCCGCAAAAAAAAATAAAAAAATCCTGCGATGAAAAATGTCACAAGAGTGTAAAAATTAAGGTTCCTTTATTTAGTTAGAAATGTGTGTGTATTACTTTATGGAATATTTGTTTTTTATGGTTAAGCACTGTTAATTATGCACATAATTGCACAATTTCCGTCCTTTCCTGATCGTGGAAATGTGTTTGTATGTAATGATGTGTCAAAAATCTACTTTTTTTTTAATTGTGATGTTAAATAAAGTATAATAGTAAAAAAAATATGTTTGACATCCATAAAATTCACTAAGGATTCTAGAAACTTGGGATTTAATAACAATTTCAGTATCTAGCCTTAATAAAAATTAATCACAAATCATCTATAACCAAATGTCTTGCATTTTGTGTGAGAACCCCGATTCTTAGAAATAACTTCGAATTTATGTAAAATTGAATCGTTAGTATACTCAACATCCGCGCAAACAGAAAAAAAGTACATTTTGACAGCCTTACTATGAATAATGGTTTTTTCCCTCATAAACATACTTTAAAATTCGACATCACTGCCCACATATTTATACTTTACTGTACAATATGGTTTTTATTTTGTGTCTGATAACTACAACTGATATTTTAAAATATTCCAACTATCGAACGGTTAATGATGCACATAATAATAATAATAAGTGAAAAAAAAGCAATTTTGAACTAGATAATGTTGTACTGCAGAATTTAATAATAAATCAACCACATTACAGAGAAATATTAGAAGACTTATTTAAAAAGCCTGCACTAAACTTTAAATGGTCCAACAGCCTAGGGAAAATAAATGCCTTTTTGTGGGAAAACACAACTATTTCGGCGAATTATGAGTGTGCTACCCATCCTGGGTAATCAGAATGCCCATTTCACCCATTCTTCGACGTTGCTAATCCATCACATTCTGCAATGAAACTCATTGAATATGAATACAGAAACATGTTTTGATCATTGTTTTCATTTAGATTATTAAGCTCATATAAACGCCACCTGTTGATGGTTGACGGAAGTGTCTTTACCAAAGTAGTAATTGTTAAAGCTGATTGGATTTTGTATATTGGAGAAGTACAAGGCCAAGTGACACTTAATTTTAGTATATCCAGATCCGTAGTGGGACAGCTACAACCAACTCGTATGCACAGTAGATTACCCAAGAAAGTTAAGTATGCCATATAGTGATCACTGTCTGCACAATATAACCATTAGGAATCCCTCAGATTTGCGACTTGAGCGCCCTAACCACCTGGCCATGCCAGGCCAATTTCTTAGTTAGTAGTGTGAAACGTATAATTTATTATTCTACCAAAGTATTCAGAAACATCTGGAGGATGTGTCGTTGCCAACCTAGGATGTTCTTGAAAGAAATTAGTGAGTATCAGTTCAGAGACGCACTGAATAAATATATTACTAACGTTAAAGTACTGCAAGATGTCTAAAATGTAGTGAACTGCACATTTTTGAGAAAAAAAGAAGGGTTCTAAAATGTATAAAATACGGAAAAAAATGTAAGTGAAGTTGTTGCAATATTTAACCATGAGCATTACGATTATAAGCCCGTTAGGGGCAGGTGGCGCGTATTATATTTTGAGGTATAATATTCAGAAATAATCATTGATTAACTAACGTAATTCTTTATGATATTCTAATATAACTTACAACATATAACCAGTTTTTACAAGTTTGTCGTGTTTATATAATATAATTTTATTTTTACCTATTCACAACACTAAGAAATAATTTTTTTTTATTTTACAAAAGTTGATAAATTACTACCTAATTTTACAACGATTTTAGCGTTGTAGCGTATTTTATGTTTGGACATAATATCAAGATATGGGGTTTATTTCGTATCATAACTTATACTGGTTTCTGAGGTAATTACTGTGCTGTACTTTTCATTTATCTTTACATCTTATAAAAAAAACATTACTTCATTTATTACACATCCCGAATTAACAAAAATTTACGTAATATTTTAATTTAAATATTAGTCATCAGTATGCACATGAAATACAAAATTAAATTTAAACATAAAATACCTGTCTTTCTCTTATTAAATAATATAACAAAATATGAAACTAACGTTTGAAGAAAAAATCATAATTACAACCTAAAACTGACAACATACGAACTCGCTCGAGGTAACGAACTCTGTACTATGATAAGCTAATAACTGTTTCGGCTAATGTTAAGTCTCATCAGCTCGATTACGATGATGGTGTAGATTTTAATCATACACATACTTTTTTTCTCATTCATTCCAAAAGTACATATCTAATATATATATATT